ACAAACACATATCATATCAGCTATAAAAGCTACATATACCACATAATCCATGCATACAAATAGATAAGGATGTTGTGGGCTCCTCCCTAGGTCTTATTCTAGGATGCCATGGGGTCCCCCATATGGTCTAACACCTAAGTTTCATGGGCTCCTCCCATAGTCTTTAGCTGGAAGCCATGGGCTCCCCCACGTGGTCTTAAATCCATGTGTTATGGGTTCCTCCCATGGTCTTTACTTGAAATGTCATGGGCTCCCCCACATGGTCTTACATCCAAGTGTCATGGGTTCCTCCCATGGTCTTCCCTACAAGAAAAACATATAGATAGCAAAGCACTAGCATAACTAACTATCATACCACATATCTATACAATCAAAAAGTATGCCACATATCATAAAATGGGTCGGCCTTGGTGCCTTCGACCCATTGGTATGGTGAGGAGACTCACCTCTGTCTGAAGAATCCGAAAGTTACTCTCATAACAGTCTGTAGCCACCCTTGCTGAACAATAATAACATTACTTAAGGTTAGGACTAAACACAATCTAATTGAAGAACACAAACCCTAAGTCCTTTCACAATGTCCCAAAAAGTATTCCTTTGCTAATTGCCCTAAAGTCCATGTCCAAATCATTAATGGGCCTCATGGCCCAATAAATCCCAACCATAGCATCTATGGCTCAAAAAAGATAAGTTGGCCCACTAACTCCAAAACATGACCATGCTCAATGACTAATTAAGGCCCACAAGCTTACAAGCCCAAAACAAGTCTAAGTCCATCTGTTGTGCGTACGCCTTGCATACCACGCTGGTACGCGCAGCGTACTCAGTCCTTGAGCCATACGCATTGCATACTCTAAGCTATGCCCAACGTACAAATATATTAAGCACATTCTTCCATTAACTGCTTAATACTCTATGTTCTAACGTCCAATATCAGATCTGAGCTCATTAAGATGACCTAGGGCATAAAGTTAGCAACTTTATGCCCTTGCAAGCTATATGGGATGTAAAAAGTTCATTCTTCACATTAGGACTTCATATAAGGCTTCAAACTCATGCATGGAGTCTATATACTTCCCAAGCTAGCACCTTTATGCATCTAGCATGCTTACAAAGCTCAAATCTAACCATTTCAGCCTCTAGAGTTGCTCAACTCTCAAGGGAAGGTCCAAAACCAACTAAAGGGACCAAATAGAAAACCCTAGCTAGATCTAATGAATAAGATGACAATATCAAGGCTTTATACCTCTAGAAGCTCTCCAAGGTGAACTAGATGTAGACTCTTGAAGCCCACTGTCACTCCAAGCCTGCTTAGCAACTCCTCCTTCTTGAATGGACACTAAAATGGTCACAAATGCACTCCTTAAGCTCAAAACACACTCTCTAATGATTTTAGGGTTTTTAGGGACGTTTGAAGGTGAAAGAAGCTGATTAGGGTGAGGCTCAAATAAGATAATGATGCTTATATAGGTCTCAAGTCCGGAAATTAAGGTTTGAACATCCTCCACGTACACCCCGCGTACTCTTTGGTATGCCCGGCATACGTGTTGGCCCTCCGCGATCATTCATACATGGTACGCTAAGCGTACTAATGAAGTATGCCTAGCGTACTTAAATCACTTATTATGCAATAATGAAAATTTCAAGGGCTTCAACAATATTACCTGATTTGGAGTGTTACACATTGTTTATTGTGTGAAAAATTATTATCACTTTATTTTCTGTAAATCACTTGTCATTGTTTATAGGACCTTAAATTGATCCTATCATATGTATCAGATATTGTTGGAAGAATTCAAGAAGCATTCTAAGCACATAGTTTAGATCAAGAAATGTGAATTTGTAGTTTGCTAACAACAAATAATAAAGACTAAGTCGGGATCTTTAAAGAAGTTGTTCAAAGTTGACGTGCATCTTTGAGTGTCGTTGTGTCTTTACAACCAACGACTATATACGACTTAATATTTTTTGTAATAGGCCAATGTATTTGATCATCGGTGACATTAATGTACCATTGTCCTGATAGTATGTCATTTTTTTTAATTTTATAAATAGGCAAATAGGATTACTCTTTCAAGTTAGTTATTCTTCGTTGCTTTGTTATTTTGAGTTTTGTATCTAATTCAATAACAGTTGTTCTTATAATCCAAACGATTGAAACCCCATATTTGCTCTTTTCCACAACTTTTTCATTTAATATATGGAACTTGTCTTTTTGAGGATTGTTTCCATGGTTGTTTATCATAGCTCGTTGTTAGTTGATGTCTTTTGAGGTCTAATGGATGACGTCAATCATGATATGTGGACTTTTGTTATGTGATAACTCTTTGCATATGTATCAAAGGTAATAGGAGTTGTTATGCATGCTATATTGCATTCTATCACGTTATTGTATTAGAGACCGGTTCTAAACGAGTTTTAGATGGATAATAATGATCATACTACTTGGCCTAAATGAGTTTTAGATTGATAGTAATGATCATGTTACATGGTCTGAGTTTAGATGTAGGTAGATAAAATGGGACCTATATACCACTTGTAAGGTGGGTCCATTATTTATCAAATTTTAAATTTATCAAGAAAAAAAAATCTAAATTATAAAAAAAACTTATAGTAAAATGTCGAAATTAACTCTCAATTCCTTCAATATCAATTTTTTTGTCATATTTTTTAACTTGATCTACAATCATTCGTACATTAATCTTATACAATACAATAACATAAAAATCTTCGTTTTTAATCAACTGTTTTTACTTATTTAATTGAATTATCACGAATATACAAATCCACATGTATATTCAACCACTCATTTCACTTTCTTTAATAAATGAACCAAAAAACAGTTATCAAAATATAAACAAACAAAATCCTATTCTCTCGCTCGCTTCCCACCCACCCCCCACAAAAATCAACTACTGTTTTCGTCTTCGATTAAACAATAAATCCAACTTCATGTCACTCACGTCCTCCTTCTTCTTCCTCCTTTACCTCTTACCCATTTCCTCCATATGTAGCTTTTCATCTTAACCTGCCATCCACACAGCGACAAGCCATTTTTATATAATTTCCATCTCTGTAACCCTCAAATCGAATCTCAAACAATATTATTTTACTAAAGAATCAGCGCAAAACCAAACATACAAAATCCCCATTTCTTGTTTTTTACAGCCATGACAGAGGTTCTCCACTCACCATCTTCGTCTTCCTCCTCCTCCTTACAAACCCTTGAAACCACATTGTATCACTCTGTAAATCAAGAACCGGAAGAAGAATCAGGAGAAGGGGTTTCGAATTCTGGGGTTACAGATTCTCAGGAAGAAGATGAAGATGTGAAGAACAGTAGAGAGAGACATAATCGACATTTGAACTTATTGGCACTCTTGTTGACTCTGTTCCGGAAATCTTTCTGGCCTGCTTCTAACAACAAGAACACGGTGGCGGAAGAAAAGCTGGATCTTTCCGGTATGGAGATTGGGTGGCCCACGGATGTGCGCCACGTCGCGCATGTTACGTTTGACAGGTTTAATGGCTTCCTGGGTTTGCCTGTTGAATTTGAACCTGAAGTTCCCCGGAGAGCTCCTAGTGCGAGGTACATTTCGTCGTTTTCATATCCAAATCGATGGTGTGTTCTTGATGGGTTTCATGTTCTTGATTCGAATTTCGGTAATTGAATTCATTTTCTTTCGATTTGCAGTGCGACTGTGTTTGGCGTTTCAACGGAATCGATGCAGTTATCATACGATTCAAGAGGAAACAGTATTCCGACGATACTCATACTTATGCAGGAACGTTTATACAGTCAAGGTGGCTTGAAGGTCTGTAAATCTTCGATTATTTTCTTTCAAAAAGATACGAATTCATGGAAATATAAACACAAATTATGCAGGCGGAAGGCATTTTTAGAATCAATCCGGAAAACGGGCAAGAAGAACATTTGAGAAATCAATTGAACAGTGGCGTAATTCCAGAAGGCGTCGATGTTCACTGTTTGGCTGGTCTTATTAAAGTACGTTTTCCATTTAGATTAATCTTTTCAAGAACATAATTTGATTAATTTCGTATAAACGATGGAAATTAACTTGATTTGATGATTTACAGGCGTGGTTCAGAGAATTGCCGACAGGGGTTTTGGATCCGCTTTCGCCGGAGCAGGTAATGCAATGTCAATCGGAGGAAGACTGCGCCACCCTTCTCCGCCGTCTACCGCCAACGGAAACCGCTCTGCTCGATTGGGCCATTAACTTGATGGCGGATGTTGTTCAACATGAACATATCAACAAGATGAATGCACATAACATCGCGATGGTTTTCGCCCCGAATATGACCCAGATGATTGACCCGTTGACTGCATTGATGTATGCAGTTCAAGTAATGAATTTTCTCAAAACACTCATCACTAGAACACTCCGGGAAAGAGAACAGCCGGCGGTGGAGCCGCCTCGTGCTCCGCCACAAGGTCCGCCATTGAAACCCGCCATTGAAGAATCTACCCATGAATGCAAACCGGGTCAGTCAAGTTATCCAGACAAAAACCAACCTCTAATCAACAATCTAAATTCCAAAAACACTCAATCAGAGAAACTTGAAGCACGACGTTGATCGAGGAAGATGGGTGGTATTATTGTGATTTTTTGTTTTGAATATGTGAATTTTTTGAAACTTTCTTGTTTCTTTATAGATTTCTTTTGGGAGTTGTTGTGAATTTACTAAATAATCAAGTAAAAATCTTTCTTTTTTCGATGTTAATAACGAATTCACTTATTCGAAACAATTTCTGATAAATTTATCGTGTTTTCAATTTCAAAAGAGATAAAGTCGTAGCCACGTTTTGATTGATTCCTATTTAATAGCACAAACTACACTTTCCTACCTTACGATTTACGAACTACTTGACTATATATCAACATAATCCCAGAAAGAAAGATTCACCACATCTCTCTTTTATCCCCTAAAACCCTAGGAAAACATCATCGACAAAGACTAAGAGTAGTCTTTCTTTCATGACTTCCGAGAGTTCAACGATGTGTAATGAAGGGATCGGTTTTGTGAGCTTCGGTGAGGTGGAAGAATTGAAGGATGAAGGGTGTGTTAGGGAAGAATGGAAGATGAAAATGAAGAATGTGGTGTCTACGGCGGTGGTATGTGGTGGGAGGAGGAGGTCGAGGGTCACCGGATTGGAATTGCCGCCGCCTATTTCTTCAATAGGGAGGAGTGGGAAGCCGTGGGTGTGGCTGGAAGCTTTCCGGCAAGATGGTAGGTTCATTTTGAAGGAGGTTGTGATTCCGGGACAGGAATTCTTGTATGTTTGTAGAGAAGATGGAAGGTTGAAGCTCAAGATTGTCCAATGTCATGATTTAAAGAGAGATGAAGAATATAGAGATTGATCACTAAAAAACCAAAATGGTATCATGATATTTTATAAAATGAAGCAACTATCTATTCATAAAATTGTTTCATGATAACATCATTTCGTGAGAAGTAATGTTATTTTGCTGATTACAACTATATACGAAAATGATTTTAGTCAAATTTATTTAACAAAATACATGACCATTTGATGATCAAGGCCGACCTAGGCATGTTGCTCGTGTTATTTCGGAGATACAGATTTTTTTACGTATATCACTATTGATGACGGAATAGTGAGAGATTAGATAACGAATCAGTGACAATTTTAGTTTTGATAAATTGTGTAACAATTATCAACTTATCAATGATTTTTGCTTATATAAAAAAATTATATTTAAGGGACATTTTTTCCTTTTCACACATGACCTTAAAAATTAATGGTGATATTTGTTTTTGAAAATATCATTGATAGTACGATAATACTTTAACAATAAAGAAAAATTTTATTCACTAAAATGACCATATATAAGACTTATATGTAGGTTTCTAACCAACAATTTCTATCATGAAACTAAATGATCATTCCATTCTCACACATATTGTCATTAATCGTGTGGGAGACAAAAGGTCCTCACATTTAAAAGTCATATTTTCCTATTTTCGTCAGTATTAACGAACGATGATTATCCTATCTTTTTTTTTCGCTTGTGCATCGGTTTCGAAACATACTTATGATTCAAGTAAATAAATAATAATTCTTCATTTTCGAGTACACTTAACGCTATAAAGCATTTCAAGAACATACTCGAGAATACGTTTTGGTATTTAGGTTATTTTGTACCGATATTTTGGTTTTATAAACCTACATTAACAATGCACTTACTGCAAAAGAAATAGTGTTTGGGAAACGTTCATTTATGAATGATGAACACATTCACAAGTTTGTGAATAGGAATGCGTGTATTTCTTTATCACGTCCTATCTAATGAAGAACACATCCACATGTTATTGAACTTAGTCACATGTTTTTTAAATGAGTCACGTGTGTGGTCTTTATGTTGGTACCTGAATCTAAACATGAATATCTTTGTGTAACTGTATATACGTAATTGTGTAATTTTATTTTCACCCATATTACTTGAATCAACATTATTTCCAAGTCTTATTGACCATGAAGTCCATCATGTACTCTGTAGAAGAAATAAGGGACATGTTGTCTCATTTCTCCTACTCATATAACACTATTTAGGAGTTCATGCTTTGATGCATGGTTTAGATATCCCAAAAACACACGAATATCCATTACTCGTCCATGTTAAATTCATTCTCAGATGCAATGTAACAATAATGATGGGGTGTTGTAGTGTCAAGACAGACGATACGATTTGCGAGTTACATTTGTACACTTTTAACATCATGATGTTGGGATATTAGTATCATGGATTGAATTTTTGTAAGTCGGAAAAAAGTAAAGTCCTTAGAATGTGTTGAAATGGGGACAACTTGTAATCAATGTAAAATAGGTCTTAATTACCATGTTTTAAGAGAATCTATGTTTGAACTAGTCATAAAGTGATTATGAATGCATGATATATGCTTAGAATTATGCTTATACAAGTCCTTGGAATGTGTTGAAATGGCGTTTGACCAACAAAAGAATATTTGTGTTTCTTACTCGGATCGAGTAGTCATTCTTCCTTGCTTATACTCGACCAAGAAAAGCATGTGGGGTCAATGTTTTAACTTCATTTAGACCATGATTTATGAGCTTTTGGCTGTCATTTTATCCCAACACTTCAAGTATATGTACATGTAAGTGAAGATGTGATTTATGGGGTCCTAAGCTCATTTTTATTCCAAGTTAGGGATTCAAATAGGTGGAACAAGTTAAGTTTCTACAAATTAGTATTAAAGGTAAACTCATTTACTTTAATCAATTACATGGTTCATATTGATGGAATGTATGCTAGCTTGTAAATCATAAATGTTGATATCATTTTTCATGTTCGAAATATTGTTAGATAATGATAATTTAAACATTGAAAACATGTTATTAATATAATGATATTAAGATTGACGCTTAAATATATATTATTGATGTGCTAAATATAGTCTATAAAATAAACTCATTTAAAATACAAATTTAGTTTTAAATTTATAAAATCAAACAAACCATAATGACTATCAACACCAACAATGGACCTAATCAGTAATAGCATAGCTGATATGGCTTTATTTAACTATATATTTTAGGTCATTATCTTAATATATTTGTATATAAATATTCTATTTTAGTGTGTGTGTGTGTGTGATATATATATATATGATACTTAATATGCTTTGAAATATTGAATTGCAGTTAAAATAAATGTCGGGATGCAAAAGGAAGAAAACAGAGTTGAAACAGACAAAAAATGAACAAATCCAAAAAGTTGGCTTAAAAACGTGTACGCCCTCTTATGAGGCATGACGCGGCCTATTAAAATTCCAATATTTTCGTGCATTTCCCTACGTGGTTTACGACTTCGTATCCAGCACGGAAACCCGATACAACGACGTGGAAAAGGCATTACCACATTGTGGCGATACTAAAACATATAATTTAAGCCAAAATTAACCCTAAAAACAGATCTTAAATTCCACTTCGTTTTATGCAAAAATAAACCCCAGATCTACGATTTCAAGATGATAGAAGACGGTCGGAGGGCCGTTAAGTTGATATGTAGCGTGGATCTAAAGGATTTGAGAGCGGATTCATGATGGGAATCTTTCGGTTTTCTTTTCTGATCACGATTAGTATTCCATTAGTTTTCACTTTCTGAATTTAGGTGTTAAAACCTTTTGCTTTGCATTTTAGATTAGATGAATCATGAAATTTTGGATTAAATTGCTATTTGGATCATTTGTTCTTATTTAATTTATTGTGTCAAACTTGATTAAAGATCCACATGTGTTAAAGCTCATTACTTTATTACCTATTGTTGATTCTATGTGATTAGAAGAACAATCTAGTTATATATTCTTGAATCATAGTTGCTTTATTACCATAAATAATTATGACTAGTGTTGGATCAAAACTTAGGGTTACGTTAATAAAGTTATGAACTTAGATCACCAATCTTAACATGATGTAATTCTAATAATCTATAGGATTAATAAAAATAAAATCTTGTATTATATGAACCGAACAATGAATTTAGGGATAATTAATGGCATGACGATGAAATTAAAAGTCCTTAGAGCCGTTAGTATTCATATATGAACCAAATACATGAATCAATTTAGGAATCGATGAATAATGAATAAATTGTTGGATTAAGATGTCTAAGCTCATAAATAAATTGGTATAAACTTGCAAATAGTATCAAAGTCCTTTTTAGGTTGCTGCCATAACTAGAATAGCTAGAAATGATATTAGAAGAGAGAGAGAGAGAGAGAGAGAGAGAGAGAGAGAGAGAGAGAAAGATAGAGAGAGAGAGAGAGAGATTGAGAGATGATTAGTTAATATATTATATGATTAATATATTAATTGGAATAAGATAATTTATATGTTAATTTGTTATGTGATTAATAAATTAAGTTGAGATCAATAGTTAAATAATTGATTTATTAATTGATAAATTAATGAAAAATCAATAAGAATTAATTAAATGTTAATAAGAGTTAACCTAAAATTAATTTGGGAATAATCGAAATTAATTAAAGATGTAAGGGGTGAATTGTAATTGTTCATTAGCTGAACAAAAGAAGCGATTCTAGAACCATATATGGTATGGATAGTTTTGGTTTGATTCCTAGGGTTTTTGGAAGCCTTCTTAAGGAAAGGACTTGAATTGATATTAAATGTATTATTTAATTAATTCAAATTTGGCTTTGTCTGCAAGTTACCTAAACTATAAATAGGAATCCCTAGACCAACAAATTTCTTTCATACCTTTACTTACAAGCGTAGCAACGAAATTTCTATTCATCTCCTATCTCTCTCCTCTTCACTCTAGGGTTTCTAGAGTTTTGGGTATGATCCATTTGAGGCATCATACTTTTGATGCTTGCTTTCTAAAGACACAAAGGAAATGATCAAAGATTTATTTTTTGTAATAAATCTAAAGGTATGTAAACCATAATTCATGAATTTCTATTTTCATAGAGTACCTTTAGGGTTCATGAAGTTCATAGTATGTTGCTATCAATTCGAAAAAAGATAGATCCTTTATAGATTGCATGTGAACTTGAGTGTTAATATTTTCCTCTTTACATGTTTTTGATAACCTATAAAACCCATCAGTAGCATCAGAACTATTGTTTTCTATTGAGTATTGACTAGTGCATCTATTAAATTGGTCTTGATTAGGGTTTATCGAAAATAAACCCGTGCTATTGCAAATTTCAACTTTTGCTAGGGTTTCTTAGAACCATAGCCTCTTTCCCATTGTTTTTGAAAATTACCTTGGTGTTTCCTCAAGGCTTCTAGTTTCCTTAATTATTATTTTAATTTCCTTAAAATTTGAATAATTAAAATTTGGTAACCCTTAACCCTAATTTCGAAAATTAGAAGGTAGGGATTAAATTTGAATTAATTAATTAATAGTTTAATTAAATATAATTATTTAATTCCTAAATGATTTAATTAATTTAATTAATTATTTAATTAATGGTTAAATATAAATCATAATTATTTTAATATTAATTAATTAAAATTTTAATTCAGATAATTAATATTTAAATCTAGTATTTTGAAATGTTTTAAAATACATCTTATATATATTTAGTTTATTACTATATGTATAAGATAAATTCGGCCGAATCACTCGTAAGCCTCATTCTCGAAGTCATGTTATAAAGTATAAGGAAACGGCCTATAATATGGCTATTGAATGGGTGTCTTTTCACCCACCGCTCTCATGAATGGTGGAGGGTAGTTAACTGAACGGTTTCGATATGACATAATCAAATAAAATGTAGAACCTATAAAGTACTAGAACCTTCTTTTAAAAATCTCATTTTAGTTACTTTAGGACAAATGTTAAAAGGATGC